TCATATACGATTCAGATAATAAATATCAGTTTAGTACTTTCACTCTGTATTGTGATCGTTTTATGTGTTCGGAAATCAGCACATGACACCCCACCGCCAAAGAAACGTGTTCCCAATTACAGTTAAGTTTTTAATGGAAACGTGGATTGAAATGTTCAGTGTTGATATCATATATTATTGTTGTTGTTTGTGTTGTTGTTGTGTTATACAACATGATTTGTTGTTGTTTTCGTATTGGTTTTGAGGGGGATTTGGAGAGGGTTCTGTGAATTCTTTGAATTCTTAATTGTTAACGCTTTTGGTGAGGAAATTGATAAGGATGATAACTTTATCAGACGAAATAAGTGCTTTTGTTGGTGAAAATAACGATGATACTGATAATAGTACGGTTGAAATCAATGTAAGTTAGGGTGCATTTCGTTAGGGTGCATTTGTTTATTTATGGAATGGTCTTATAGTGAGATGATCATATTGCACTGATAAGAATTTCAATTGTAATTTGAGCACGTACTTTGCTTATCAGTTGAAGTCGGTTGTTTTCATTTGCTATTAATCCATCGATACAATGCAATTATTGACGTTTTATGTGCACTTTTGGGGTTTTAACGGCTCAGAATTCAAGGTTGTTCTGAGGGTGACTTTCTCGAATGTCTGAACGTTTTGGTGAGAGAGAGCGGTGAAGTTGAACTAAATTCATTTGTTGTTTTCAGGCGCTGTAGAAATTCAATGGTGGATGCGAACACAACGTCGTCAACGTCAGCCACTGGAACTGTTCTGTTGGATTTTTACATAGGACTGGGACTGGCCGTAACATCCTCATTGTTCATTGGTAGTTCGTTTATAATCAAAAAGAAGGCGTTGATTAAGTTGGCGCAAAGTGCTGATTACACACAGCGTGCATCTGAAGGTGGTTACGGGTATTTGAAGGAATGGTTGTGGTGGCTTGGAGTGATAACAAGTTAGTTCGTTTTATCATTCAGTTGTCAGTTCACAGTTGTTTTGCTGTTTCCTTGAGTGGTGATATTAATTTCGTTGTTGTTGATGTTGCTGATAGTGCGTTGACAGGATTTTTGATAT